AGCCGAGGGCCCGAGGGCTGCGTCAGGGGTCCTGGGAGCAGAGGGTCTGCAGACTGGGGAGGATGTTCTGGGTACTAAAAGCGTGAGGGCTAGGGAGGGGATTCTGGGAGCCAAGGGTTTGAGGACTGCGCTGGGGAGTCCTGGGAGCTGAGGGCTGAGAAGGAGCCCAGAAGTCCAGGGTCCCTGGTGCCCGGGTCACCCCTCTGGGCCCTGTGCTCATGGCCCCTCCTCCCTTGGGGCCTGGGAGGCCATGCTTAGACACCCCAGTTACCCCACCTGCCTGCCCCCGTCATGGCTGGTGCTGACCGTTCCCGCCCTGCAGGGCCTCTTTGTCCTCCTGTTCCACTGTGTGCTCAACCGGGAGGTCCGGAGGCACCTGAAGGGGGTGCTGGCGGGCAAGAAGCCACACCCAGACGACTCAGCCACCACGAGGGCCACGCTGCTGACGGTAGGGGTGCTGGGACCCCCACGCAGGGTGACCAGGGCACTGACCTGCCGGGCAAGCCCCAGACCAGATACAATGGCTCTAGTACAAGGCCATCCTCCCCAGCTGGGCGGGAGGGAACTGGGGCTGCATCCCGATTGTGGGGTAGAGTCCTGTCTCCTGTGGCCACTCAGCTCCAGAGGCCACATGCATGTCCAGCCTCAGCTGACCACCAGTCCCCCTCCCCAGCGCTCCCTCAACTGCAACAACACGTACAGCGAGGAACCCAACATGTACCGCACAGCCCTGGGCGAGTCCACCGCCTCGCTGGACAGCACCCTCAGGTCAGGTGACTCCTTGGGCAGTGAGGGGTCGCTACTGCTGGTTGGTCAGTGCACAGATGGGGCTGCAGAGAAACCCCAGAGACCCAGGGCCTCAGGACCCCCAGCACCTGCAGAAGGCAGTCAGTAATGCTGGGTGGCACTTGTCCACCCCACTGATCTGCAGTGCTGAACCCCCATCCTTGCAGGGACGACGGCATCCAGAAACTCAGCGTGTCCTCAGGGCCAGCGCGGGCCGGCCACGGGGACCTGGATGCACCCTTTGTCCACAGGAGCTCCAAGAAGGCCCATGGTATGTCCCTGGAGGGGCTCACAGCCTGGTGTCCCCTCGCCCTTCAAGATTCACTAGTGCACAGTCAGAATCAGCCTCCCTCTCCAAGCACTGCTGTCACAGAAATGACACAAGGGGTGGCTTTCACAGAGGTCCATTTACTCACAGTTTGAGAGGCTAGAAGTCTGCATTCAGGGTGCTGGCTCTGAGGGGCGCTCCTTTCGTGTCTGCGGCAGTCCTGGGGGTTCCTCAGTATCATTAGATAGCACCCCTCATCCAGTCCGCTTTTTGTGTCTGTCCGGTTGCTTATGCCTCAGGGATTAGGTCCAGGAGCGCCCCCCCTTCACTCGAGTGTGCCCTTGTCACCATCACCAGGAGATCCACACCCTTAATCCGGGTCACACCCACTCTTTGATGCTGTCCACTCGGCAACACCTCAGACACGGACCCCTACGTCGCCCCTCACGGTCTTGCTGGGCTTGACAATCCCTCACTTTGAGGGTCTCCTTTTTCACTGGCCCCCTACTTTCCAAGCATGATGCTCTTCTCCTGATAACGTGCACAAAGTATGTGAGAGAAGTATTGCCATGCTATTTCTAAGACACCCTCGGGCCTCTCTTCCAAGACAGATGTGTTTGTTCTGCTTCAAGTTTGTGGTCGTTTTATATTCTTAAGTGTCACCACATTGCCAAGGCATCAGTTCCCTTTTGGTCTTCTTAATTCATTGTCCAACTTTTACATTGGGGCATACCTTAGTCTTTAGACTGACATCCTTGCTCTCTGACACTGTAACGAGGATTTGGTGGTGCATCTGTCCAGTGCAGCACGCCGTTCAAGTCCTCGACTGCCATGGGTGGGGACTGGAGACCCGAGAGAAATGAAATCCCCAGGAGGAGGGTTAAGATTTGCAGCACATGTTTGGGGAGACACAGTCTGTCACTAAGAGTCAGCAGTGGCCTGAGCCTGACTCCCCACAGAGGCCTCAGGCTTGGTCCTGAGGCTCCCCTACCCGCCTGCTCCACAGGCCACGACTCGGACTCCGACAGCGAGCTGTCCCTGGACGAGCAGAGCAGCTCCTATGCCTCCTCCCACTCGTCAGACAGCGAGGACGAGGGTGTGGAAGCTGAGGACCAGTGGGACCCTGCCACGCCCCAGGCTCGCAGCCGTGGCCCCGTGCACAGCACCCCCAAAGGTGAGCAGGCGGGCCAGGGCACCCGGGGCTGGGTCACCTTCTCCCAGCAGGCCCCTCGTAGTGGGGTGAGGGCTGGCTCCAGCAGTGGTCTGTCTCAGTGCGTGTCATGACCTTGAGAGGGCCTGAGGGATGGTGGGAGGAGTGGAGGGAGCTCTCAGCCCTGGGCGGAGTAGAGAGCAGTGGACCCTCTGCTCGTACCGCAGTGGATGCTACAGCCAACCACGTGGCATCAGACTGGCCCGACGGGAGCCCTGTGGGGAGTGACGGGGAGGAGTCGGCGGAGAAGCCCCGTCTGAAGGTGGAGACCAAGGTCAGCGTGGAGCTGCACCCAGAACGGCCAGCAGGCCCCCCACCCAATCCAGTGCCAGAGCAGAGGAAAGGTGAGGGGCTCGGGGGTGTCAGTTCTCATACTGGGGCTGGGGTGGGGGACCAGTTCCCTGTCCCGAGGGGCTAGGGGCTGGGCTAGGGAGCCAGTTCTCTGTCCTGAGGAGTTCAGGGTGCAGTTCCCCATCCTGAGGGGCTGGGAGGGCAATTCTCTATCCTGAGGGGCTGGGTGCAGGGGCACCTGGGGAAGCAGCACCTGGGGCCTGAGGACCCTGGCAGACAGGCAGCCTGGCTCAGAACTGCAGGCTGATGTGTTCCCAGCCAGCCCACCCTTTGCTCCCTCTTGGCATCTCCCCCGCTGTCACCAGGCATCCTGAAGAACAAGGTCACCTACCCACCGCCACTGACCGAGAAGACACTGAAGGGCCGGCTGCGAGAGAAGCTGGCCGATGGGGACCAGAGCGCAGGCTCATCCAGGACATCCTCCTTGGGGTCCAGTGATGGCTGCAGAGCCCTCACAGACTTCGGGGTCACCGTCAAGAGCCTGCCTCCCCGGGAGCCGGCACGGGAGCACCTCAATGGGGTGGCCATGCACGTGCTGGCGGGCAGTGCCCAGGCCATCAGGGCCGACTCTGAGTGAGTGCAGGGGAGGGGCACTGGGTGGGCCCGGTGAACGGGGTCAGAGCCCTGTCCCCTGTCGTGACCTGTCCCCGGCCTCTGGCTCTGGCTTTGAAGCTCCGCCCCCAGGCTGGTCTCCAGCTTGATCCTTTCTGCTGAGACTGCTGGGGGGAACCAGTGGGCCAACACCTCCCCACGTGCCAGGTGTTGGTCAGTGGCCTCATCCGTGCCTACCTTGGTCCTGCAGTGTCCCCAAGCATAGCTAAGCTTCAGTGGCACCTCCTTACAGGCTGGGTGGCCATGGCCTCACTGTTCCCACCCTACCCCCACTGAGCATGGCCCCACCCCACGCCCACCCCATGGCATACTGGGCAGCGCACCCCCTCCTGACCCTCCGCCGCCTCTGGCTTCTTCCCATGAACAGAGGCAGTAACGAAACTTCAATTTGAACCATCAGGGAACCGTGAGGGAAGGCGGACATCCACGTGCTTCATGGGCCTGGGAGCCCAGGGCCCTGCCTTCCGTGAGGGGAGTCAAGGGTGTGGCCCTGTGATGACAGCCTGGGGACGCTCCACTGCCAGGGACTCGGGACCCTCGGACCCTGTGACAAGTGACAAAGGCTATGGGCATGACAAGATGCGTCCCCAGACGCACAGCACGGTGTTCGTGTCACCCTGCACAGCACACACCAGGGGCCCCTGACCAGCATGGACAGAGGTCCAGGGGCCATCTGAATGTGGTGACCAGGCCCGAAGCAGCAGCGCGCCATCTTCACTGACCCCAGGGACTTGCACGGATGCTGAGGGGCAGGACTGCGTTCCCGAGTGTGTGACGGTCAAGGGCGGTCAGGATTTCCTACATAGATCATGCAGTCCTTAGTTGCACCTGTGGGGACACTGTTCACGGTGCCAGAGACTGGAGCAGCCTTTGGGGACAGCAGTGGGCAAGGCAGTCCCTCACAGTGAGATGGCCCATGTGATTGCTGCCTGTGCCTTGGGACTGTGCGGGGACCTGGGACTGGGCGCCTCCATTCCCCGCCCTGCAGGGATGGCCTACCTGGCCAGCGTGGGCCCCAGGCAGCCAGCCCTCTCTCCCTCCACTCCCGTTCACACCACCCCCGGGGAGTCACAGTTCTTCCTGCCAACTTTCCGTGCAGCCAAGGCGCAGCCCCAGGCGCTGACCAATTATTCCATCCTCCTTCCAACGGACAATTGTGCAGAGGGACAAAGCCACAGCCAGCCTTTCAGTGGTGACCAGACTGGCTTGGGAACCCACACCAGGCACCAGCACTGGCTTGGTGTGGCCAGGGGGGCAATGGCACCCCGCCCAGATCAGAGAGGTTCAGGCCTGTTTTAATTCCAAGTCGCCTTTGTTCCTCGAAGAAGGTGCCCGAGGACACGGCCAGGGCAGCTGCTTGAAACATGAGCCCGGCACAGACCCAACAGTCGCGCCAATGTGCCAACGGGCACTCCTCCATTTATCCCGACAAAAAGGCGAGAACGGCGCGACCAGATGCTTGCCCGGGAGGAGAGGTGTCCCGGGAGACCTGGGGGCCTCCGTGCGTACAGGGCAGAGGCTGCTCTGCAGGCCGCCTGCACCCGAGTCTGCAGAGTCCCATTCTGGGAGAAGATCACTCGCTCGTCTGCGACTGGACGTGCCCCCGAGGTGCACTCAGCACCGTCACCAAAAAACATGTGGGTTTTTATTAAGACAAAGATTTAAAACCTATTTTTATGACTCAAAACTTTATAAAATATTTGACACTGGAAGCTTTGGTTTTTTTAACAAATGTATATTTATTAATGTTCAGAACACTGGAGGTCTACAAATAAATGAAGTTTTGGAATTTGCTGGTGGTGTGCTGTTCTCCCTCTCCCACGTCTTCCCTTCCCAAGGCTCCGTGGGAGGTGTTCATGGCCCCGTGGGTTTTCAGTGTCACCCAGGTCAGCAGCTGAAGCCACAGCTACTGCTGGACAGGCCAGCGAGGCCTGAACAGATGCAGTCGCCTCTTAACGCTCTCAGCCTTGGGAACCTTGTGGGCCCATCTGCTCTGCGCTCCAGGGCCATGGGGGCTGGAGCTGACTCTGTAACTGTGCATTGGGTTTTGAGGGTTGGTAGTCCCGGGGTGCATGGTGCTAACCCCCAGGTCAGGCCTTGCTTATGGTTCCCTGGCTCCTTGGATCTCTTGCCATATTTGGTATGTTTCAGCCGTTACTCCATTTCCCCCACAGCGGTTTTTCTCCTCTGGGACTCCTTGCAGGTGATGTGGCTTCTGAAATGACCTCCCGGGTCTGAGGCCACCGCGTCATTCTCACACGTGTCCCCCTAGCAGAGCTGGCCTTTCCACTCCTGTCTACTGCTGAGCTATGCCAGGAGTCTGATTCCACATACAGCAAATCCAGGGAGCGCTGGGGGCGTGACGCATACGGAGCTGTGCTACTAACCCCGTGGTAACGCTTCACTGGCCGTTCAAATCCACCAGCAGGTCCTCTGGAGAAAGATGTGCTGGCCCCTCCCGTGAGCCTCCCACCTCTGAACACCTGCTGGAGGGTCAGCTGTGCGCTGGTCAGTTCTGACTCAGCAGCACGTTTGAGTCTGGTGGTGTACTGGGTAAAGAATCCAGCCACTAAATCACAAGGTTGTGGGGTCCAGCCCACTGCCGCTCCATGAAGACGGGCAGTACCCTTCCATAAAGATCATCAACCCTGGAAAGCCCCCAGGCTGGACCCACCCAGCCAACCGCTGGACGGTGGGAGAGGGTCGGGTGGTGGTGGTGGGGCCCAGGGGAGGAGCAGGACTGCCCAGGAGCAAGGCAGCACCCAGGTGTCTAGAGCCGGGTCAGGGCTGCCGAGGGAACCTTCTGGGCATGAGGCTAGCACCTCATACAGTGGGGACCTGGGGAGGTGAGGCAGCAGGGCCCCGGTTGAGGTTCCAGGAGGCCCGAGGAGGAGGTGACCTTTTCACTGTTTAGAGCAGAGGCATCTAATTCAGGTCTAGAATAGACTTAGTGGTTCCATGTTGGCTTCTAACCAAAAGGTCAGTGGTTCAAACCCAAAGAACTCTGATGATTCACATCCTTGGAGACCAGGTGGAGGGTCACTATGATTCAGGACCCCACAGCCAGGCTCTTCCTGACTTCCTGACGTATGGGGGACAGACAGCACCTGGACACCCTGGGGGGGGGCTGGGGACAGCTGCCCTCAAGCTGGGGTGCCTGTCCAGCCCTGGAGTCGTAGAGCAGGTGGGGGAGTGTCTGTGCCCCTACCAATGCTACCTCTGGGATCTAAAGTCTAGGAGACCATTGGAGGGCATCCCACAGAAAGTCAGTGCAGAGAAGATGGGGGTGGGGGGCAAAGGCAAGGGGTGTGTGCCCTCTCTGCTGTCACCAAGGAGTTCCTGTGTCACAGCTAGACCAGAGTGGGTGCCGTGGGGCCCAGTGCCCAGCCAATGGGCCCAAGACATCCGAGCCCAGCTGGGGAGAGGCTGTCCTTCAGAGTCCCCAGGCCCCTGCCCACCCTGACTGGCAGCCTTTCCCTGCTGGAACCTGCTTTCTACCAGCTCTTTGGAGTCGAGAGCTTGGCCAGGTCAATTTATGTGCATGTCCACAGCCAGGCCCTGACCCGCCTTGCCCTCGTGACAGCCCCTGCTGGTAGAGGGGAGGGTGGAGCCGGCGTGTGAGAGTCCCAGCAGGACTCTGGGGACAGGTGCTGCTCCCAGCAGGCAGTTCCTTGGAGGGTGGCCCAGCCTCCTCGGACAGTGGCAGGCTCTGCCCATCAGGCAGGACTCTCCAGAAGCAACAGCCATGTTTGGACATGTGGGGACAAGGGCCACGCCAGCTCCTTCCTGCTGCCCTGACCCCTAGCATGCTGGCCCTGACCCCAGAATGGCCCTGTTGGTACCAGCAGCCCCACCACCACCTTGCAAAGCTGAGGTAGTCCTGCCATCTGGGTACCCATGGGTAATGAGCATCAAACCTGCACACAGCCCAGGGATCCAGGAGCCTCTGCAAGTGTCCACAGGGTCTGGCTCAGGAGAGGTGCTCCTGACATGCCTGGCCACCTCGTCCAGGGAGGGACATGGGCCCCAGGCCAAGCTGGAAAATTCTGGCATTGGCAGCAAGCCATGCAAAGTCCATTCGGCCCTGGGAAGGATCACTTGTTGTCCAGCCAGGGGCCAACCTCCTCCAGCGGTTCTTGAGACACGCACCAGGCCTGGGCCTGGGCAATCGCTGGCTGAGTGACCACTGACAGCATGGACAGGGAGGCCCAGCAGGGCATCTCCACATACCCCTCCCCTGGGGCAGGACCAGGTCCACCAGCCAGCTCTGATGAGACGAGGTCACTCTGGGGTACATTCAGCACCATCCCCACACGCTGCCCTTTCCAATGTAGGGGCCCCACCCGCCCAAAGGCTTCTCAGGCTGAGATACGTACAGATAACAGACCACCTCATTCTCCAGCAGAGCGCGGGGGTGCGGGTGCACAACTGGCCTTTCAGATAGTGGCTAAGCGCTTAATCCTTGTGCTACCTGCCAGGTCAGCACAGTCCCAGTGCCTGCTCCGTGGTTCCCCCTGCCCCAGCAGTACACGCGTTCACACAAGGACATGGTTCACACATGCACACACTCACCCACCCTCGTGGCTGCAAAGACGTGGCCCCTAGGACTTTGTTCACGTTCTTTGGGTGTTCTAGCACATGAGGAGGGGCCCCCGATCCTTTCCAGGTTGAGAAAGCCCCCACCAGGATGAAGGTCTCCCCAGCCTAGCTTCCCCATCAGTGATCCCCCTGGTGCCGGTATCTGCAGAGTGGGAAGTGGAGCCCACCCCAGTCTAGGGGCTGTCCCTGCCTGACCAGGGGCCCTGGCCTAGTGCCACAGGGGCCTCATCCTGCCCTCAGGGAGACCTTGAGGCCCTGCGTTCGGTACAGTGGGCCCACATGGTGCAGACCCAGAAGCAGCTGGCCAGACCGGGCGGCCCCTTCTGCCCCATCCACTCCACACACATACGCAGTCAGATGCCGGACCCTACCCCCACCCCAGACTATACACCCTGCTGGTCATCAGATTCCATGTCCAGACACTTTATTTCATGGTGTCCTGTGTGGGGGTGGGAAGACCAGGGCGGACCGACCCTCAGAGGACTTCTGGGAGAAGCCAGGCAGCCTTCCTGGTGCCCTGGGCTCTGCAGACGTTCGGGGCCTTGACCGGCGTGGACTGTGGCAGCCTGCTGGCCTCCTGTGGCCAGTCCTGCCATCCCGGTGGGCTCCCCAGGGGACCTCCAGCTCAGCAGTTAACAGCAGTAGCAGCAGCAGATCTGGGGTCAGGGCGTGGGGCTGGGGCCTGGGTCCTCAGCAGTGCCATCTCCAGAGCTGGCCACCGGGGACCTGCTCTGACCCCTCTGCAGCGTGTAGGCGGACGGCCCCAGCCGCAGGATCTTGCCGCTGCCTAGACATTCGTCTCCCTTGTAGAAGACAGCAAACTGTAGATAGAAGACAGTCACCACCCGAGGCCGGGACAGACAGAGGGGCGCGGGGTCAGTGCTCCCAACAGCTTTACAAGAGGCAGGGAGGCAGATCTGTCCCCCAGGGGATAGTCACAGACCCACCACACAAGCTGTCTTGAGAACCCCAGGGAATCTGAGGGGAGGAGTGGGCTTCACTCCCTCCTCAGGGCTCCCCGTGACCTCCATCAAGCTCTAAGCAGCTGCAGCCTCACTGCCCTGTCCTGGGATGGTCAGCACACACTGCCTGCTGGGCACCCACTCCCACCTCCCCGGTCAGGGGTCCCCTCACACAGCAACCCTGTTAAGTCACAGGACAGCTGGGCTTTCTCCATGCTGCCTCAGTCCCGGGAACTGTCACAGGACAGGCTGAGGCCCGGCCATGTGAGGGCCCTGGGCAGCATGGGCCTGCCTCCCCCAGGGGTACCTCCCACCCCCAACAGCCCAGCCCAGCCCAGCCCCGGGGCCATACTCACCTGGCCGAGGGCAAGTGCCCTCACAGCCTTCACAGCGGTCACCCACACGGTGCCGTCCTGGTTGAGGGTCAGCACACAAGGCACTGGGGACAAGAGTGGCCTGAGAGGGGTTCACCTCGGACCCCCCAGGGAAGCAGCAGCAATAATGAAGCCAGGAGGTTGCCCAGCAGGACAAAGTCGGGGCACACACTGCTCCCAGCCCCCTCCTCTCCCTCCACAGTGGGCAGGGGGCTCTGAACCAGCCGTCGGTGTGAACCTCCTGCCCACAGCCCCACGTGCTGGCCCGCTTGCCCAGTCACCTAGCGCCATCTGGTGGCGGAACCGGAAGTGGCACTCCATCATCTTGTCGCGGACCAGGACCGGGGGCGGCTCCTCCGTGATCCAGTGCACGCGGCTGGTCCGCAGCAGGTCCCGGTACAGGGCAGGGTGGTCCATGCGGGGGGCCTGCGGGGGGACGCGCTGTGAGGCCGAGGGCTGCCATGCCCACTCTGCTCCCCTAGTGACGCCCAGCACCCGGCAAACCCACCACTGGGGACCAGCACTGGTCAGTGGATACTCAGAGGCACACTGTCCACAGGGACAGGCCACAGGCTGTCAACGAGCACCTTACAGGTGGGCCCTTATGCCCAGGGGAGGAGAGCCTTGCTCTTCACTGCAGTCACTCATGCAGGGTCATCACGGTGGAGGGGGACTCACCTCCGACCCCCAGAGAAGATGGGGTGTGCATGTGGGGACCGCTAGCAGGGCAAACCTGCTTCATCTCCTCCTGGGAAGTAAGGCCCAGGCCACTGCCCAGGAGCTCCCAGCACCTGCTCTCATTACACACCATGGGCACACACACTCACACACGTGCACACCCCCCCATGGGCACGTACACTCACACGCACATCCACACTGGGCACGCACGCGCACACTCACACTCGTGCGTACACACCGTGTGCTTGGACACTCACACACGCACACACATGCAGGCTGCTCTGCGGGGTCAAGGCTGCACCACTCACCACAAAGATGTCCCCCTTGGCGCTGTCCTTCTCCACCACGTACCAGGGCTCCCGCAGGCCCCCGATCCGAGCTCTCTGGCCCAAAGTGTACAGGAACCAGCCTATGTGGAGAGAGGTGTGCAGTGAGGCCAGCACCTCTGCTGGCGGGGAGGGCACGTGGGTCAGTGGACACCAACAACCACCGGGCACTGAGGCCCCCCCCCAGCTGGGGAGGTGTGGGCACTTGGACCACCAGGCAACAGCCAGACCGTGGGGCACATGGTCCCTCATGGTGTCCAGTAGCCTACATGATCACGTGGAGCACTGAAGGTGGCCAGGAAAGTGCCGGCAAAGGCCGCCAGCCGCTCCTCGGGAGGAAGACGGACCACTGCTTCCACGGAGATGCACAGCCTCGGAGACCGAGCCGCAGGTCCACGTCCTTCCAGAGCGGGGCTTGCTGCAGGGCGGGGCCTGGGGCTTTGGGCCACCTCACTGTGAGGCCCCTGCGCACAGACAGATGGCCGGTTTCCTAGGAACCTCACTGCCTCACACCCCCGGGAAGACGCAAACAAGCAACACAGTTCACAAAGCTACACTGCAGTCTCGCCTGATGCCACACAGCCTTGCTGGTCACAGCCTCACCAACGCCACACGGCCTCACTTGAGTGTAGTGTCTGCTCAGAGCACCCACCTAAGACACAGTACTGGTCCCTGCTTATCCTGAGCCAGAGAGACAAGCAGACCAGACTCAGAGAAGACAGCCCACAGCGCAGACCGTCCACGCGCAGACCATCCATGGGACAGATGGCTCAGGGGACACACCGTCCACAGGACACACTGTCCACCTGACACCCTGCCCATGAGACAGCCCATGGGACAGACGGCTCACAGGACATATCGCTCATGGGACACGCCATCCATAGGACTGACCATCCACATGGCACACTGCCCATGGGACAGACCATCTATGTGCAGACCGTCCACGGGACACACCGTCCACGGGACACACTGCCCACAAGACACACTGTCCACAAGACCAATGGCCCACGGGGCAAAATGTCCATGAGACAGTCCCTGGGGCAGGCCGTTCATGAGGGAGACTGCCCATAGGACAGACCGTCCATGGGACACACCATCCACGGTGCACACCGTCCATGGGGAACCTCACCTATGAGGCCACCGTCCATAGGCGCTACGACCTCCTCTGTCTAGAGACCACAATCAGTCGGTGCCCAGCTTCCACCCAGAGCCACACGAGCTGGTCCTGGACAAAATGGAGCAAAGCTTGAACCAGTGCTCCAAACCTTCGCGTCCAGGCTTGCTGGACCATCTGATGCTCCGAGACGACTGTCCAGACAGAGACGGTCTAAGCGCTGAACCACAGGTGACCTGGTCACCCATTAGCTGAGGGTCAGGACGGCCCATAACACACAGTCAGTCACCACCTGTGAGCGCTGCGCTCCTCACCAAACCACCCACAGGAGACTCACAGACAACACTGCTATGCTGCAAAGATGAGCCCAAGGCGGAGGGCGCGATTCCTGGGAACACTGAGAAAGGGGGCACACGGGGAATGTAACCAAGTCCCCGGACAGTTTGTGGAGAAAACCATTAACGGGAAACCCATCTGCTGTGCAAACTCTCACTGAAAACACAGTACACTATCTTTTTTTAAAAAAAGAGAGAGAGAGAGAGAGAGAGGGTGCTTCTTAACGTTATTAGGAGGGGCTTCTCGCTGGAGAGGGCCTTCATACTTGGGAAGGTGAAGGGTCAGCATAAGAAAGGAAGCCCCTTAATGAGATGGATTGACACGGTGACTGTCACAATGGACTTGGGTGTATCAGAGACGGTGAGGATGGCACAGGACAGGACAAGAGTCAAACCCTTTGTTCTAAGTTGCTATGAGTTGTAGCTAATCCAATGACACATAACTACTTCTTAATATGGAAAGGTCTCTAATTGAAGTTGGTGCTAAATGTCCTAGCTGCCTCCTGCATGACACGGGCAGACAGGCCTCCATGACCCACCTCTGACGGCAGAGCAGAGTGACATCCCCGGGGTGGGATGGTGCAGCTCACCTTGATGTGCTCCCAGGACCGTGTTGTCTTCTATGGAGATGAAGCGCCCAGGCCGAGGCTGCAGGTACTGAAAGCAAAGGGTGGTCACAAGGCGCCAGCCGGGCAGGGACACAGCACCCTCAGTGCACCCGTCACTCACCTGAAGGATGAAGTTCTCAAAGTTTCTTTTACCCACGAAGCAGATGCCCATGCTCTGAAAGGAGAATGGTGCCGTGTGAGCCAGCCAGCCTATGTGGAGCGGGCTGGGCTCCGTCGGGATGCCCTACATAGCATTGCTTGGCCTCCCTCCTGCCCCGACCCACCCGCCTGGCACAGGGCCTGGCTGTCCTGCTGCAGCAGGTGTTGGCCCTGGTGGGTGTTAGGGTCACTTCGTGCTAGGCCAGTGTATTAAGCCCTTGCTGCAGAATGTCACACCAGCTGCCTCAGGAACAAGCGTGGAATCAGCAACCAGAATGTCCAGCAGCATAAACAGTGCTTCAGTGCCGAGCTCCCAGCCCCACCCCACATGTACGGTGAGAAGGGACCGGAGAAGGGGCAGGAAGCAGACGGGCTGGGCCGGGCCAGACACCAACATCAGGGATATCAAGGGAAGACACACAGCCCTGTGCTCCCCCAGCTCTATCTGGAGCTGCCACATTCCGTGAGCGACACGACCCTCGGGCAGTGTTGCCTCTAGAAGGGGGGGTCTAGACGGTCAAGGCCTGTCCACACAGCCCACAGCTCCCTCAGCTTCTACCACAGAGCAACGACCGAACACTGACTAGCTGAGCTGACACGGGGTGGGGGTGGGGGGGTTACTGAGGAAGTGAAGGGCGGTGGGGAGGTGTGAAGATGGAGGATGATGTGAGCAGGTCGGTGAGTGAGCGGACGGGGACATGGTGAGGGGAGGGGACGGATGGACAGGCTGGTGAGTGAGTGGACAGAGGGAAAGACGGGGAGGGTGAGTGAGTAGGTAGATCAGCAAACGAATGAATGAACAGGTGGGAAGATGGAGGGAGGGATGGATGGATGGATGGATGGATGGATGGATGGATGGATGGATGGATGGATGGATGGGGGATGGATGGATGGATGGAAGGAAGGACGGACAGGTGGATACGTGAGTAGTTAAGTGGGTATATGGATGGATGGGTAGATGAAGGAGGAGGTAGATGGTGGGAAAGATGTATGGACAGATACACGGCCAGGTGTGTGGATGGGTAAGGGGTGAGGAAATGGTTGTGGTTATGTGAATGGGTGTGTAGGTGGGTGGGTAGAGAGATGGACAGACTGATGAGTGGCTAGGTGGATGGGCAGGGAGGGTAAGTGGGTGGGTGAGTGAACAGATGGCGGAGTGACCAGGGGGGCAGCAGGATGGAGGAGCAGGTGGGTGGTAGGTGAGTGGATGGAAGCTTGGATGACTAGGTGGATAGATGGGTGGGTGGAGGGTGGGTGGGCAGGGGCTAGGGGGTGGATGTCTTCTTTGGCGCCAACAATTTGCAGGTAATTATATAAACGTGAGCGTAAACACCTCACTAAGCTGAGGCAAAGGGTACCTCCTTTTTCTGAAGCACGTGATGAAGTCCATTCTCAGCAGCTATTTTCTTTACAAAGCCTTTGGTTAATCCCCCCAGAGGGAAGATGGTTCTCCTCAGGGCATCCTGGGAAACCTGGCTGAGAAAGAAGGTCTGGTCTTTAAAGCTGTCAGCTGCCTGGAGGAGTCTTACCGCTGCCAAGAGCAAAGAACAAAAGAGGTTGAATACAGACAGACATTGGCCTTCACCGCCCTTCTGCTTACTCCAGTTACCCCTGTGTGTGAGAAACAGCAGACAACCCGGCAAAAAACCAAAATAAAATCCACCAATACAAAAAACCAATAGTCATGAATATTATAGGAAAATCATTATTCCTAATTTGGCTACTACTGAAAAAGATAACACAAGAAGATGAAATTTATGTGATAAAGAAGTCTATTCTATTTCACATTTTAGATAGTGTTTTCAAAACTGGGAAAAAACCCACCATGAGAAAATGTTCTGAAGAGAGAAAAACAAGAGTCAGTTAAAAATGAGAGCGGACCATAACATCAGGGAGGTGGAGAGAGGGGAGGAGGACAGAGGGGAAGTGGGTAGCTGGGAGGTGGACAGCAGGGAGGTGGACATCAAGGCAATGGACAGCAGAGAGGTGGGCAGCAAGGTGGACAGCAGGGAGGCAGGCAGCTGGGAGGTGGACAGCAGGGAAGTGGGCAGGGGGGAGGTGGACAGCGGGGAGGCAGAAAGCAGGGAGGAGGGCAGTCCAATGAGCAGTGAGTGGTGTTTTCTCAGGATGTGTCCATGCAGGCACTTCCCAGGATGCTGGTGGTGCAGTGGTTACATGCTGGGCTGCTATCTGGAAGGTGAGTGGTTCGCAGCCACCAGCTGCTCTGCAGGGAGGGAAGCAGTCTGTGTCTGTGAGAACACACAGCCTGGCCACGCTGTGGACAGCTCTGTCCTCCTGGCTGTAGGAGTGAGTGGACTCGTGGCCGAAGCTGTGCTTGCGATGGGTACGCAGAACCTCACTGCCATTCCTGGTAACAGCAGTGTCTGCTCAGAGTCCAGGTCGTGTCTGACGGCGGCGACCTCTAGAGTCCTCTGAGGGGGCCTTTCAGGTGAGGCTTCCAAGTGACTGACCTGGGTCACATGGCCTTGCCTCAGGAAAGTAAGGACCCCTGCCTCTGGCCTGGACCCCACTGCTGGCTCACAGCACCCTGGACTGGAACTGTGAGGCTCTCCACTCAGGGGTCCCAGCTCGACCCTAAAGTGTCTCCCTGGGGCCTTCACCTGCTGCAGGGCCCTTTCTGCACAGCGCACCTACATCCCTGGTGGCACAGCAGATAAAAGGCTGCTCAGCTAAACAAAAGATGGGTGGTCCAAACCCTCCAGTCACTCCGCAGGAGAAAGGTGCAGCCGTTTGCTTGTGGAAACGCTGTCTGCAGGCTTTGGAGGCTCAGGGGAAGCAGTTCTGCTCTCTCCTGCAGGGTCACTATGAGTGGGAATCAACGTGATAGTAGTGAGGACAGAGAGGTCTCAATGACTCAGAAATGGAGCATGTCACCCACGCAACAGGATGGTGTTGGCCAGCCATGTGACAGGACAGTGGTGACATCATGTACGTAGCCTGGCTGACTCTCCCATGTGCCAGGTGGACGGCCCTGTCTCCATCCCCATTTCACAGACGAGGAAGTGGAGGCCCAGATGGTGAACGACTTGCCTCAGGCTCTGGGCAGGTGGGAGGCTGGGCCTGCACTCCTAACTTTAATTCATCGCTGTCTGTGCATCACACAGTGAGGGGGTCCATGCGCCAACAGGGGAACTCTGTCACCAGGCCATCCGGGAACAGAACTGCCTGCCAAACTCTGCTCTACCTTCATCAGGGAATCAGGACGGGCACTGGCCAGCACCACACAGTACAGGGTGAGGGCGGCGTGAGCATCGCCTCGGGCTGGGCTGACCAAGAACAAAGTCTCCAACTTGAGAAAGAATCGTGGCCAGCACACGCTGAACGGCCGTCCCGGGAGGAGGGAGGAGCTCGCCCTGCCAAGGGTGGCCTGCACAGGTGCTTCGCACACAGCTGCGTGGCCAGGCCGGCAGTACTGCTGGTCAGAAGAAGCCACTGCCCAGAGGCCTGGGCATGTTCCCTGTCATCCTCTCCCTGGGCCAGCCAGACTGGTGGCAGCACCACTTGACGTGGGGTGGCCAGGGCCCAGGGGCCGGAGAGGTCTCTGCCAATTGCACCTCCCCGGGCTGGCTCATACAGCCTAGTTTACTCCCCAGGGCAACACAGTGAGCCTGCAGGGAAGTTTCTCTGCCCAATAAAGACACTGCAAATGAGGCACTGTGTGCTGACAGTGAAAACAACACACAGAACTCAGCCCAGCCCAGGCCAGTGCACCTGCAGAGCCTGGGGCACCTGCCGCAGGACCTTCAGAACCTGGGGCACCTGCATCGGGGCACCTGCAGAGAGACTGGACCACCTGTGGCCCCTGGTGAAGGCCCCACAGTCCTGAGAGGAAAAGCAGGCTAGGTGTCAGCATCAACTCTGGAGCCACGGTCAGTTCATGTGGTGAGCCAGCTTTGGGGGCCAAGGGGAGGACAGCAGCATGAGTTCCAAAGACTTGACTTTGCACCCAAACCCGTGTCCTGCTGTGTCCTTCCAAGGTGGACTGGCCAGAACACGAGAGGCTGAGCTAGGGAAAGGCCGAGAGGTGAGTCCCACCCTCAAGCACCAGCACCAGCAGCCCAGGGGGCAGATGAAGGGAGCCCGACTCCAGAAGGAAGGCCTGGCTGGGCAGCACCCCCGGACAGCAGAGGCTCCCACTCGGAGCCCTAGCAGGCCAGTGCCCTCAGAGCCCTCATCAGGCTGCAGTCAGTTAGGGGGCATCACTGCTGTGAGTGTGGCATCACTGCTGTGAGTGTGGCTGCTTTCCTCACCGAGGGAGGGGAGGAGGAAACAGGCAGGGACAAGCCCGGGTGCATCATGGGAAGAGATAGCAGACTCTGTCACTTTCACCAAGTCACAGTAAATACAAACACAGGTGCCAAGCTTCTAAGGGCTCACGGGGCAGAGTGACCCTGAGTGAGCAGCAGCCGGGCTCGCTGGGGAACCAGGTTCAAACCCAGCCCACCTCCTGTGCTAGAGAGACATCTGCCAAGCCCTGTCTCCACACCTGGAAAACGGGAGACACGCACCGGGCTGTTAGGAGTCTACAGTGTGTAAGCACCTGTCCAATCTCAGAGCTTCTCCAGGTCCAGAGGGGCCAGGAGCAAGCTTGACCCAGCCCCCCGATGGTACCCAGGAGACCAGCACTCTTAGTGAGCTCAGCACATGGGGTTCCTGCGGAAAGGGGGCCCCAGCCTGCTCTGTTCACTTGGGGACTACGTGAGCTTATCTCCCTGCATGCACAGGTACTGAGGACAGTCCAGCAGCCCCCAAGGTTCCTGTCTGGCATTGATGGGTTTTATGGAAGGAGAAACCCTGGCCTCTGCCACATGCAAACCACAGGTATGCCTCATGTACCGGCTGTGGACGGCCAAGCTGACCGCTGGCCCACGGCGAGGGCAAGCCCCATCTGGCCCATTCACCCACAGACCCCTGATGCCCAGCCCACCAGAACCCCACAGTGAGGACCCTGGCCTTGGGGACAGCTGTGGTGCTGCCGACACTCTCGTCCCCTCCAGTGTTCTCTGAGTCACCTGCTCACCCGCACCCGCAGCTCACAACTGTATTATCAATTATGGATTCCATTCTCTACCGGCCCACGAGGCATCTGACCTCTGCCCCCAGTCACAGACCCTTGTGGGGAATGCATCCCTTGGGGATGGTGTTTCAAACAAACATGCAGACGTTGAGGATGAGGGCTACATGGACCACATCCCTGGTGTCCCTCAAAGCCCAGCCCGCGTGTACACACCAGGCTCCCACCTCTGTGCCTGGACTCACCGTTTCTCACTTCAAATCGGTTTCTGAAAAGCCCTTCGGGCCGCTTCACGTGCTTCTGCTGGAAGACCTCCTCATCCTCCAGAGACGTCCGCGCGTAGTGACCTGTGGCCACAGCATCAGCTCCTGGGAGTTTTGGAGGTGCAGGGTCACACATGAGGTGGGCATTGATGGGCGCATCCCGCAGTCTCACACTGGCCCTTATCAGCACCCGACCCTTGCCATAGCCACCAAACACACCTGCAGTTCTCCTAATGTCGGAACTTAAAAGGCTACAGCCGTCTCCCTCCCCCTCTAAGTGGCAGCAAAGCCTTGGTCTGACTTTAAAGTGATACAACTTTGCTACAAAGTTACACTACACTTTCAGATTTCAGTATGTTACCCTGTATCCTTTCAGTCCAGTTTTAGGGAATAATTAAAAAGGTACAAAAGGACTAGAACACAAAAATTTGACTCCTTTCTGATATTAAATAAAACTTGAAAACAATCAAAATGTTAAAAAAGGGAAGGGAGAGAACCCGGTACCACTGCAGAGGATATTTATACTTTTTAACCAGGTGGGAAAATGCTTGTAACATTCAGTTGTTGTTAGATGTCCTCAAGTTGAAGACTCAGTGACCTATGAACATAGATCTGAACTTGGCCCCATCCTGCATCATCCAAAAGCCAATTAAGTACACAGTCATTGCTTTAAGTATAAGCAGAGGGAGGGGAAATCTCAGGCAATTCGCATACTGGGAAGTGAAATTGCAGACATCTTTGCTCCTCTTTACTGTTCTGTGGCTTGAAAACAGCTCTAGATCCTGGAGGGCATTATTCTGAATGAACTATCTGTCACAAAAGGGCAAACACCGCATGTTGTTGTTAGGTGCTGTCAAGTATGAACAAAAGATCTATGTCCTGTCCTGCGCCATCCTCACACTTCTTGACACACTAGAGCCCATCGCAGCAGTCACCGTGTGTCAATCCACCTGGTTAAGGGTCTTCCTCTCCTTCACCGACCCTCCACCTGTCCCAGCATCACATCCCTCTCCAAGGAATAGCCTTTCCAAAGTATGAGAGGCAAAGCCTTATATTCCTGCCGCCAAAGAGCCCTCCGGCTGCACCCTCTCCGAGACATATCTGTTTGTTCTCCTGGCCGTCCATAGGATGGATAGTGCTCTTCTCCACCACCACAGCTCTAAGGCATCTTCTTTTCTCATTGTCCACCTCTCAGATGCAAATAATCGGAAAGATTATGGTTTGAATCAGACGCACCTTAGTCCTAAAACTGACATCACTACTCCTGAATAATTTGGAGAGGTCCCTAGCTACAGATTTTTCCAGTGCAATGTGTCTCCTTTTTTCCTGACTGCTGGCACAAAGGTGTTGATGAAGTTTCAGTCTCCTCTCCATCCATCACGACACTGCCTATCAGTCCAGTGGAAGGAATCTTTGTTTTCTTGACACTGAGACACAATCTATACTGAAAGCTGCATTCCTTGATCCTCCTCACTTTCAGCAAGTAAGGATTTGTCATCTGCATAATGTACGTTATTGATGAGTCTCCCTTTAATCCTGATGCCACATTCCTCTTCAGAGTCCAGTTTCTCGAATAATGTGCTCAAATTATTATTCAACAAATACTGCATAACCCACTATTATAAAAGGGGACTGACATGAAGGGTTGGGGGAGAACAGGAAGAGTAGACAGATAATGAATACTGCATTGGAACAGATGAAGGGAAGAATAATCCAAAAAGAAAATAGGATTAGGTATTATATGCGTGACAATAATCTGGAAGAAGAGGTGTACTGCAAAGTGAACCGGGAGGGGGAAGAAAATGTGCAAGAATGAATGAATTAAAAAAAAAAATCCAAGGGAGCTCTGGTGGCCTAGTGGCAAAAAGCTGCACTGCAATCCCAGAGGTGCACGGTTTGAATCCACCAGATGCTCTGCTGTAGGAGGGGCAATGTTCTCCTCCTGTACCAGTCAGATCTGATTTGACGGTACACACACACACAAATAATAAAATAAATTTAAAAAAAATCCAAACTAATATGGAAAAAAGAAAATATCATGGCTTGGGTATCAAGAAAATATCACAGCTCACCTTCGTCCTCAATGTGACATTAAATTATTTTTAAAAAAAATAACTCTAGAAGGGTAGCACACTGGTTATGTGTTGTTAGCTCAAAGGTCAGCTGTTCAAACCCAGCACCGCTCTGCTGGAGACAAATGAGGGTCCCTCCTCGCACGAGAGAGATAGTCAATCAGATACACAGGCGCCAGCCGGCTGTCCTCCCCCGGCTTCCCCTGCCCTGTGCCATTACGCTGACCAGCCGCTCCCTCCCGCGGCCTCCCCTGCCCTACGTCCTCCCACCGACCAGCCTGTGCAAGCTCTTCTGTCGTCTCTGGTGCTTCCTGCAGGTCCCGTGCTGCTGGCATTCAGACCCATTCTTTGTCTGATCCTCACAGGCCCTTGTCATTGTCTGTGCTGTCCCTTTCATGTCACTGACAATCTACAATCACACTCTCCTGTCCATTCTTTTCCACTTTGTGAGTCACTGGCCAGTGATCAGATTTTTATCTTTTCTAACTGTAATCTGGGTCCCCCAGTGGCTCTGCGGGACTGTGATGTAATCTGCAGCCCTGGTCCCCGTGGAGGGTGGGCTCCGAGGTGGTTCTGACTTCACAGCAAAGACTGTGAGTGTGAGCAATGCTTACAGCGCACACGACTGTCCGTTCAACACCTCACACACATTTTGGTTCCTCTCACTGTAACGGCACTCTTCCCAACTCCTCCCTGGGCCTCCTGTGTCCATCCATCCCTCTCTCCAGCCTCCTCCTGCCTTCAGAGCTGTTTCTGGGCAAATGCTGCCCTCTGGGTGCATCTGGTGGCTCTGCTGAGGGGTGCATTGTTCGCCAGTGCGGCTGGCTGTGCTGAGGACTGTACTTCTCCCCAGCGGTGTCCACCTTACAGGACGTCTGTCATTTGGCTGAAACTCGATTCTGTTCAGTTCCAGGCTTGAAGGGGAGGCCGCAACCCCAGGGCTCCATCAATCTCCAACAGAGCGGCCAGTCTGAGTTTTACTGTTTTTGAGTATTTTTCTTTTATCCTCGCTTCCTCTCTCTGTCTAGGACTTTCTGCTGAATGCCTGACCAGGGCAGTGGTTGGTGGCACCCAGAACAGTCTGGCTCTCCCGGTGTTGGGAAGCAGAGACCGCTCCATGGCCCATCAGTTCTTGGACTGACCGTTTCCTTAAGTCGTGAACCTTCTTCACTCTTCCTGCTCTGGATGAGGAAAGAGCAAGAGTTGCACCTGCAATGACCACATGCAACTCTGCAGCCACTGCTCACCAAGCAGGATGAGGGCCTTCCGAATGACTCAGCTGTCCTCCAGGACTAGATGCCAAGTCCCCAAGCCCAGTGAGCCATTCCCTCAAGTCATAGCTAAGATTGCTGGACATCAGTCCTGCACGCTCTGCTGGGTCCTTGGATATACATACTGTGCACACAAATACACGTGCGTGGAGAAACACTTTCCACCATCTACACGCGGCCACAGGCACGCTCCCGTCCACCTGGCCCACCTGGCTGGCTGGCCTCACCTCTGCACACTCCCATCCATCACCTCTGCATGTTTCCGTCCACCTGCCCCACCTGGCCGGCCGGCCTCACCTCTGCATGTTCCCATCCACCTGCCCCACTTGGCCGCCCAGTGTCACCTCTGCACGATCCCCTCCATGTCCACCTCCCCCACCTGGCTGGCCAGCCTCACCTGTGGATGCTCCTGTCCATCTGCCCCACCTGGCCAGCCGGCCTCAAGTCTGCACGTACTCACAGGTGTCCTCAATGTCTACTGCTGCAGGGCTGAGGGTGACAGCACTTTCCCGGCTGCCTGGCACTGTGTCCCTCCCCGGGACTCCCTGTGTCCTGCGCGCTGCACCCTCACTGTGTACTGCCCTTCCCTCATCTGCTAACACGAGTCCACCCTCTGGTTACTATACCGCCCTGCCCTCTCCTCCCTGGTGGTGGTTGTCGTCAGGTGCCGTTAAGTCCACTGACTCACGGCGACCCTGTGAGGAACAACTCTGAGCCCTGCCCTGTCCTGAGCACGCCTGGCCACCTCTGACCCACCTGGCCCCACTGTCCCTGTGACAGTGCATCTCATCTGGGGTTGTTTCAGTGTGTAAGCTTCTCCTTGACTTTTATGACAGGTGACTAACAGGACGCTCAGGTGGCACAGTCTGAAGGGTGTTGTGTCGCTAACCAAAAGGCTCATCTCCAGCAGTTCAAATCCACCAGGAGAAAGACGGGCAGTCTCCTCCCGCTGAGGTTTATGACGGGAGGTCAGTGAGGCAGAACCATCAGTGACAGTGGGTTCCGAGTTTGAGACAAATACAGTACTTACCCCTCCGAAAATCTGATTTCACTCAGCGTAACATCCTCTGGGTTCACCCATATCACGGCGTCTCGAGCAGCCTACACTATCGTGTGTGGACTATTACGGCCCTGTGTGCCTGTGCCTTACTTTATCCACGGAGCTCTTCCTACTGGGAATAATGCCGAGATGAACGTGAGTGTGGCTGAACCCGTTCACGAATGGCTCTTATTCTCTAGGAGAGACATATGTGAGATGGCTGAATCACACGGAATTTCCATTTCCAATGTTTAAAGGATTTGTGTACCATTTTCCCTATCGAAGTACTACTTCAGATGGTTTTATTTAATATTCAGCAGTATTTCGCTAACATGTGATATCAATGATACAGTTCAAGAATTTCCACATTCAGCTGGATCACCCTTCTTGGGAGTAGGAACAAATACAGACCTCTTTCAATCCGTTGGCCAGACAGCTGTTCTCCAAATTTCCTGGCAGAGACTGGTGAGTGCATCCAAGGCTGCATATTGAAGTAAGTCAATTGGCATCACATCGATTCCTGGGGCCTTATTGTTCTGCCAAGGCCTTCAAAGCAGCTTCCACGTCCTCCTTCATTACCATTGGCTCCTGCTCAAATGGTACTTCCTGAAATTTTTCAGTATCAATCAATTCTGTCCGGTACAGTGACTGTGTATTCCCTTCCATCTTCTTTTGATGCTTTCTGGGTGATTCAATATATTGCCCCATAGCACCTTTCAACATTGTGACATGAGGCTTAAATTTTTTTTTCACTTCTCTCCGCTTGAGAAATGCAGCGCGAGTTCTTCCCTTTTTATTCTCCAATTCCAGCTCTCTGCACATTCCATTATAACTTACTTTGTCCTCCTGAGTGGCCCTTTGAAATCGTCTGTTCAGCTCCTTCACTTCAATATGTTTTCCTTTAGATTTGGCTTCTCAACGCTCCAGTGCAATCTTTAGAGTCTCTTCTGACATCCATTTAGATTTTTTTCATTCTCCTCTGTTTTTGTAATGACCTCTGCTTTCTTCATGGATAAGATACTTGATATCATCCCACAATTCATCTGGTCTTCTATCACTGGTGTTCAATGTCTCAAACCTATTCTTAAGATGATCATGAAATTCAGATGAAACTGATTCAAGATCGTATCTTGGTTCCTGTGGACTTACTTTTTTTTTTTAGCCTCAGTGTGAACTTGCAGATGAGTAATTGATCTGACCCACAGTCTGCCCCTGGCCTAGTTTTGACTGCTGATATTGAGTTTCTCCAATGATTTCTTCCACAAATGTAGTTAATCTGACTCCTATACAACCAATCAGGTGAGATCCACACGTAAAATCATTTTCGTGTCTTTTAGAAAAAAATATTTGCAATGAATAAATCATTGCCAGTACAAAACTCAATCATTCTATTTCCAGCCTCATTTCTATCACCAAGCCCCACATATTGTAACTACTGTTCCTTCTTCATTGTTTCCTACTTTTGCATTCCATTCACCAATTATCGTTAGCACGTCTTGACTACATGTAAGATTCATTTCAGACTGCAAAATTTGGTAAAAATTTCAAGTTCTTCCTCTTTGGCACTAGGTGTCAGAGAATATATTTGAATAATAGTCGTATTTCATAGGTCTTCCTTGTATGTGTGTGGATATTATCCTATCATTCGCAACATTGTATTTGAGGATAGAACTTGAAATTGTTTTACTATGAATGCAACACCATTCTTCTTGCTTTCCATTCCCTCATAGTGGAACATGATTATCTGACTCCAAGCAGACACAGCTGCTCCATCGCATCTCACTAATGCCTAGTATGTCAGTATTTATGCGTTCCATTTCATTTTTTAACAATTTCCAGTTTCCCAACATTCAAGCTAAATTCATTCCACATACCAATTGTTAAAGGAATAAGTTCAGTCAGGACTGAGAAGAGACCGTGGCACCAGGGGCATCATTGCTGATTTCAGATGGATCCTGGCTGAAAGTAAGGAATATCAGAAGAACGCCTATTTGTGCTTTATCGACTATGCAAAGGCATCTGACTGTGTGCATCATGACAAGTTGTGGCTGACCTTGAGAAGAATGGGAATCCCAGAGCACTTGACTGTGCTCATGAGGAACCTCTACCTGGACCAGGAGGCTGTTGTGCGAACAGAGCAGGGGAGCACTGCATGGTTTGGAATTGCGAAGGGAATGTATCAAGAATGCACTCTATCTCCATACCTGTTCAATCTATATGCCGAGCAAATTATCCAAGAAGCTGGACTCTGTGAAGAGGAGTGTGGCATCAGGATTGGAGGGAGACTCATCAATAACCTGCATCATGCAGATGACACAACCTTGCTCACTGAAAGTGAGGAGGATTTGAATCACTTGTTGCAGAAGATCAAAGAATTCAGCCTTCAATATGGAGTGCACCTCAGTATCAAGAAAACAAAGATTCTTACCACTGGACCAACAGGGAGTGTCATGATGGATGGAGAGGAGATCAAAACTGTCAATAGTTCCATCTTGCTTGGAGCCACAATTAACACCCTTGTTACGAGCAGTCAAGAAATAAGGAGACGCATGACACTGGGAAAATCTGCAGTTAGGAACCTGTTCACGTCCTCTGTTGGTTTTGTTAATGGGCTGCTTGTCATTTTGTATTCTCTACATCATACAGATCAAGCCCTTCTCAGACGTGCCATCACCAAAGATTTTTTCCAGTCTAAAGATTCCCTTTTCCACTCTTTTGGAAAAGCCTCTGATGTGCCACATCTGTTTCTTCTAGGAGGTCTCAGTCATCTAGTCTCTCTTCTGCTTTTGCAATCTTTTTAGTTGCATTTTAAAGACCATTAACACTCTAAATTTGAGCCCCTAAGTTTATTGCTATTTATATACTGATGGCTTTTACAGTTTTAGGTCTCTGATCCATCTCAAGTTAGTTTTTGCATATAGTATGACACGTGGGTCTTGTTTCATTTTCTATTCTCCAATGTCTGGTCCAGCCAAGATCACTTGTTAGAGACTGTATCTTCCCCAATTAGTGGACTATGGCCCTTCATCAAAGATGAGCTGGCATAAGTGGACAGATGACATCTGGGTTCGCAATTCTGTTCCCCTAGTTCACGTGTTGATGTGTGCATCTCTATCCTCGGACTCCCTGGGGCTGGCTCTCCTGAGGCCCCTGTCCTCACACTGGTGAGGTCTGTGAGGGAGGGGCCACTGTCTCCTCCATGGTTCTCAGCACTGACAAGTCACTAGAAAGTTTTATGTCATGCAGAAATAATACAAAATAGCATAGTCTTCACTGTTTCCTTGACTTCTGAAGAAAGGTTTTTAGACTATTTCTGAAAATCTCTGATTTTTTTAAAAAAAGATGAAAGTGACACTGACAACTTACCAAGATTATCCACGGCATAACTGAAGAAACAGCTGAATTTGATGTGCTTGTTGCAAATTATGTCAGGGTTCGGAGTCCTTCCTTTTTCATATTCACTTAAAAAATCGCTGAAAGCAAAGGAAAGAAACCACCTTTAATATCTAAGTGTGAAACATTGCTGAAAAAGGAAAACCCGGTACTTGACTAAGCCTCCTCATGTTGTAATAATAAAGTTGTATTTTCTTTCTGTGGAACAGAAGAGCTTCTGCCTGAGGACGTTTTTCATGTTTCATCAGACCCCCCTGCTCACCAGCTCCACCTTTCACTCAGCACATGACGTATACATAAATGAACACGGTGTCATCATCTGTGACTGGGGCCCTGGGGCACCCTGTCCCCTCAAAGGTGCACAGGGGCCAGGTCAGAGCCATCCTGCCATCTCAGGGTGAGAAACGGGGCTGCTGGGAAAACACCAGTCAAACTCAAATACATCAGCATCTCTCAGCAGCCCCTCCAAGCCAAGCTTCAGCAGGTTCTCAGGGGCTGTAAACCATGAGGGATGAGACTGTCCATCTTTCTCACTCAGAGAACCTAGTGAGTCGGGACTCCAAGATGTGCTGTCTTTGCGTTATCAGGCCAACTCCTTATGGACTATGCCCCAGGGCTCCCTGAGCACCAACCAGGAACCTACAATGTACCAAAAGGGACCAGCAACCTCCTGGCTGCAGAACACGGAGCTGGCCACACTGACAAAATGGGTGTCTGCCCCACTAAACTGAATGGACAAGGGAGGTGGTGGCTACAGTGAAAGCTGCAGAAGCAAGAACCCGTGGATGGTGGAAATCTGTCAGAGAGGAAAAGGCACATGCCTCCCACAGAACTACGAGAGTTAAGACTGACTGCTGTCAGGTGCCATCGAGTCAAACAACTGGCAGTGACCTTCTAAACAACCCATCCTCACGACCTCTGACAAGCCCACTGTGGCAGTCACTGGCTCCACGCATCTTGTTCAAGATCTTCCTCTCTGACCCTCCGCTTTTACCTGCATGATGTCTTCTCCCAAGGACTGGCCTCTCCTGACAACATTGCCAGAGTATGTGAGACCAAGTTTTATCACCTTTGCCTGGCAGGAGCACCTGCTCCTTTAGCCGTTCATGTGATGTTCGGTGCTCTTCAATACTGCAATCCAAAGACATCAGTTCTTCTTCAGCCTTCCTTATTCACTGTCTAACTTTCAGAGGCTCAGCAAGGAACGAAAGATGGCCCAGACCAGGTGCACCTTGGTCTTTAACTGGAACCACTCTTCTTTGGCCCTCTGGGGGTGACCGCACCATCTGTGCAGAACACGCGCAGACCTGGGAACACGAGGCATTCCTACCTGGTTCTGCTCTCCTACGATTCCTTGAACACTAGCAAGACTCAGGGAAAAGGAACAGTTTTTAAGTGCTCACTGGGTGTTCAGGGTAAACACAGAAGGTTGTCAAAGAGTAGACTCCAGATTCCACACGTGCAGAGCGTGTCTGCGCGCCACTGGGCTTTCAGCAGTGAGTCTGCAAATGGGGATCACCAGGCCTTTCTTCTGATGAGCCGTAGAGGATGACTCGTAGCAATCCTATGAACAACAAATCTGAATACGACTATTCTGTGCCGTCTTCACCATCTGACATACTCAAGCCCACTGCCACAGTCACTGTGTTAGCCTACCTGGTTGAAGGTCTTCCTCTCTTTCCCTGTCCCTCCACCTTCCCAAGGACAATGTCCCTCTCCAAGGAACGCCTCTCCTAACAACATGCCCAAAGCACATGACACGAAGCTTCATCATCTTCGCCTCCAAGAAGCAATGTGACTTCACCTTCTCCAAGAAAAACCTGTTTGTTTTTTTTTGGCAATCCATGGGATGTTCAGTACTCTTCTCTAACACTATCGTTCAAAGGCATCAATTCTTCTTCTGTCATCCTTCTTCATTGTCCAGCTCTCAGATGTAGAGAAAGTAACTGAAAAGACCATGGTCTGGATCAGGTGCAACTTGGTCCTCAAATTAATATCACTGCTCCTCAATAATTTAGAGATTTGTGACTAAAGACTTTTCCAGAGAAATACATCTCCTGATCTCCTGATTGCTAGTACCAAGTATACTGATTGTAGACCAAAGTAAGATGAAGTCACTGACAGTCTCAATCTTTTCTTCTCTGTCATGATGTTGCTGATTGGTCCAGTGGTGGATTTTTATTGTCTTGAAGTTGGGATGCAATCCATATTGAAGACTGCAGTCCATATTGATCTTCTGAAGCAACTGCTTCAAGCCCTCCTCACTTTCAGCAAGCAAGGCTGTGTCATCTGCATAACAAAGGTTACTGATGAGTCTTCCATCCTGATTCTTCATATTCAATGCCCTATTCTTCATAGATTAGTACTAAATAGTGCTGTGGGGATTGAGGATACTTTTGTGAAAATCTTCCAGTAGGCTTTAGGAGGATGTAACTTGCACAGAAGGAGACTGCTCATCTTTCTCCTGCAGAGAACCTGGTGGATTCGAACTGCCCGCCTTCAGGCTGGAAGCACAACTCCTCACATCTAAGCCACCAGAGCTCTCTGTGGCGGTAGGATTACACAAGTTTTTATTTCAGTGTTTCCAGGCACAGAGGACTAGATCACCTGACTTCTTCTCAGATCTTTCCGAGGACCTATGACATCTTAGGCAGGCATCAAATCTCCCCCTACAGGATCCACACTCCCCAGAGAGATCAAGCCTTTCTCTCCTGGAGCAGGAATCAGAGCCAAAAGCATCACTCAGTCCAAGAGATCACTGAAAAGATGACCAGAAGGTGGTTAAAGAGGAACAAGAGAGCCCGGGGCTCCCGTGGGGCCCAGGCACAGTCCTGACCACTGAGAGCGCACCCACTTCCCAGGGCTGCTGGCCGAGTCTGTGGCGCTCACCTGAACACCTGGTTCCAGTACTCTTTCACGTAGGACACCTGGTGGAAAGGGATGTCGAGGATCTGGCACACACGGTAAGCATCCTCACAGTCCCTGTCGGCTGTGCACACGCCATGCTCGTCCAGGGAGTCCCAGTTCTTCATGAACACCCCCGTCACCTGATAACCTGGGGGAAGAATGGGCAAGTGAACTCGGCACCTACATCTCCTTCCTCGCGGTGGCCAAGCCCAGCCAACACATCACACCTCTGTGCTGACTGCCACGATGGCGCCCTCCCCTCCCTTCAGGGAATGCCTTACGCTTCCTCCAAGGCTCAGCTCAAATGACATCACGTCACAACACTTCTCAATCCCCCTCCCTCAGTTACACATGGCTGGGGTTAGCCTATTCCTCCATTCACTGCCATAAGGTCGGAACTGACCCACTATGACCCTCCATTGCCTTTCCAAGGCTCTAAATCTCAACAAGAGGCTCTTCTGTCCATCCTTCTCCCGTGGAGCCACGGTGGGTTCAAACTGAAGACATATAGGGAGCCTTCCAGCTGGCAGCAGACCTCCCTACAGACTACCATCCACTTCTAGTTGTTGTTAGGTGCCATCAGATGTATTACAACTGACAGCAACCTTACGAACACAAAGCAAAGCGTTATGACGAAATGCACAAGGAATAGAGTTAGAAAACCAAACGGGAAGAGTGTGTTCAGCATTTCTTGGGCTGAAAGAGCTGAAGAACAAATTCAAGCATCACCCTTCTGCCACCATTTAAAATCCAGCTCCATACAGCACTCCACCACCCCTGCTGCCGTGACAGGGTCCACGTGCCAGCACCACCCTGCCTACAGCTCGGCTGCAACAGAGGGCACGGACGAGTACAGCAACAAGAAGACTCAGCAGGGGAAGCCAAGATCAACATGACCAACAATCAGCGGGATGACGGTAAAGTGTTTGCTGGAGGCTTGAGCTGGGATACAAGCAAGAAAGAGAGGAGTGTTTCTCTCGATTTAGAGAGGTGACAGACTGCACGATGAAAACAGACCCAGTCACTGGATGGTCAAGAGGGTCTGTACTTTTCAAAGCGCTGCTCGTTGATAAGGTTTTGGAACTGAAAGAACACAAACTGGATGGCAAATTGACAGATCCCCAAAAGAATGAAAGCTTTTTAAGGGAAGGATCCCCCCCTCAAAAAAAAAGGTTTTTATAGGTGGATTGAGCCCAGATACTTCTGAAGAGCAAATTAAAGAGTATTTTGTTGCTTTGACAACACTGAAAATACTGAACTTCACAGGGATGCAAAAACAAGTGAAAGAAGAGGGTTTTGTGTTCTCACATGCACAGATGAAGAGCCAGTAAAGACAGTATTGGAAAGTAGTTATCATGAAATTGGTTCTGGGAAGTATGACATCAAAGCTGCACAACCCAGAGACGGAGACAGGAAACCACAGAAAGGAGGAAGAGGTGCTGCAGCTGGTGGGCGAGGCGGTTATATGGGGAGTGGACGAGGTCAGGGCCAAACTGGAGCCAAGGACCCTCTACCAAAAGTGCTCTGGTGACATCGTCTGTGGGGACGAGCTCCCACGGGCTGCCTCCTCCCAACAAATCAGCCGCCCACCTTGTCAGGACCCCTCTGCTCCTCGGTAAGGCGAGGGGCGCACAGGCCAGAGAGCAGGTGAGGAGCGAGGGGTGCACAGGTGAGAGGTCAGTTGACAGGCAAAGGGCACATAGGTGAGGGGAGCACGGGTGAGAGGTCAGGTGAGGGGAAAAGGGTACATAAGTGAGGGGCGAGGGGCGACAGGTGAGGGGCAGGTGAGAGGCAAGGGGCACACGGAGAGAGAGGTCAGTTGACGGGCGCAGGGCACATAGGTGAGGGGCACAGAGGTGAGAGGGCAGGTGAGGAGCGCACAGGTGAGAAGCCAGGTGAGGGGCGAAGGGCACACAGGTGAGGGGCGAAGGGCACATAGGTGATAGGTGCACAGGTGAGAGGGCAGGTGAAGGGCGAGGGGCGCTGAGGTGAGAAGCCAGGTAAGGGAAGAAGGGCACATAGGTGAGGGGCGAAGGGCACATAGGTGAGGGGTGCTCAGGTGAGAAGCCAGGTAAGGGGAGAAGGGCACATAGGTGAGGGGTGCTCAGGTGAGAGGGCAGGTGAAGGGCGAGGGGCGC